GGTTTGGATTGATCATCTTTCACAATTTATTTTCACGCACAACTATCTGCAAAATCAATCAACCTTACACACAGAAAGCACTGGGTTACCGGTATTTCCTTTCGTTCCTATCAAATCGAATGAACTGAATGGCCATCAATGAAGACGACATATGAACAAACTTCAAAGGGTGCTTCTGTTGCTAACCCCAGTATGGGCTAGTTTTACAGAATGATAACAACCGCCTCTTACGGACGATGGGTTTGGAGATAAAAGGTCGGATAGAATGGTGGATATACACTACCTATCACTAGCAATAAAAGCAAAACCTTAGCTCACTACTTCATCAGTGTATGTTAAGTCAAGTCGATCGAAGATTGTGTGAAATCTAAAGGATATTCAGTCCAAACAATATTCTTCTTGTAGCCTTTGATGTCAATGTGGTGTATTAAGATGATACTTCGTTTTTGTCGTGTTTTTTCATTTGTTTTTTGTTATTGTTGTTGATGTTACTGGTGGTGGTGGACCGTGAATTCTAAGATCAATAAGTGCTAATTGTGACTGAATAGGCATTTATGGGAATCCAGATGCTAGTGTTGCTCATTGCTTGGCTTCTCAGAGGGATTTCTCTTGCTACTGATGAAACATTCAGATGAGCTGAGTGTTCAACTACCCCGACCTTTGTGTCGCTTGTTTGCAATCTTTGTGTTTCGTTCTACCTTTCAACTTTTAACGATCAAAATTAACCGGATACTAATGACCTTAATTCACTTTGTTTCGCTGTAGCGTCCTTTTTCAAATCATTGACCCACTTGAATAAACGTAACGATGCAGAACGCTGATTCAAATAGGAGACAGCCATCATTGCGACGATCCAACTCCCAGAGACGCAGTACACTGTCTGGACCAGTTTCTGATCTGCAATATTATCCTGTTCGCGTTGAGAGACCGCTTGAAGTGGTCACTTATCAGCCAGTTCAAGTAAAAAGCCCAGCGCTAATCGCCGATCGGCAGCAAAATCAACGACCACTCCAGCCAGGTATACTCCGACAAAGCTCACGTCAACTTTCTCTCAGTAATCTATCTACTGTGGATTCAAACAACGCAGCAACTTTACCCGACAATTTCGGCAGTTCTAAACGGAAGTCGCTAACGCTCGTCGACGGGGACTCCGGAAGTCTGAAGAGGTCATCTAAAAACGGGTTGCGAAGTTCCAGTCGAGGTAAACGCATACGAGAAGCGGTCGTTGTCACGGGGATTCCATGCGATCCTCCTGCTTCGTTCATTAAAGAAGTCAATAAAAGTGGTGAGTTATTGAGGGGGGGAGTGATAAATTCTGTTCTGGATGAATGTTTGTAGTAGAACTATTCCATTATTTTTCCCTTAAATGAACTGAAATGTTAGAACCAGGACGAGAAAACTAAATTATTGCTAGCAATAAGGGTTCATTGTTTCATCTGCCAACTCTAAGATGTACTATTCCAACTTTTATATACGTTTCACCAACCGAGTAACAATACCTCATCAGAATTGCTGAATTGTTCGCACAGATTCGTGTAACAAATATTTTTAGCCTTATACATTTTTAAATTATATTTTTGCTAGTGTTTTACAAATGCTTTTGGAATAAGATGAAAAAAGAAAGGTCAGCTTGAGGGAATTAATCAATCCAATTTGACTAATAATCGATAATTATCGAGAGGGAGCACAGTTTAGGGAATGTGCTGTGTTTCGGAGGGTGGAAAACGGCGTATTGTGAATATGGAACAAGAGAATAGATTAAATTGAACACCAGGACATTGCTTTGTCTGATGAATCAAATATCAAACTAATTAAATTGTATGGGAATTTTTGTGTTTCAATAGATGAGCAATCGGAAAACAAACCCACTTGACCTCAAGGACAGGGATTATGTGAACAGTTGCACGGGAACAAACTTCAAAGTATAAGCTAACAGGTTCTTATCATTCTCTCCATTTAGTGCGCCGCACAATCAGTCCGCTGTCTTCTCGTCGTTGGCGACCTGAGAACGTTCATTGTGATTTTGCGAATATCGGCTGTACCAATCGTTAACTCACTGAATGATCCACTACAAAACTCATTCACGATAATCAACGCTGAAGGGTGGCACTATTAACGTGGTATAAGGGTATGGGGTAAAACAGCGCAAACTTGTTCAAAGGGCATTTTTAGTGTAAATGCATGGATAAGGTGTTAGATAACTTAGGCTCGACTTGGCCAACGATCGCATGTGAAAAGTTGATACAACTTATCGGTTAGTCTCAGAAATGCATATAATCAGTTTTCTTTAACCAAATTCCATTCAGAATAATAAGCAGCTTTTAAAAATTCCCGACTTTCATAACGACGATTTACAAATAACATATTTTACCTCTGTTTCTCAAGAATTTATACGTGGAGTACAAATTGAAACTGATTTTATGTGAGATCTTTTTCAAAATATCCCTTGAAGTCTTCGCAGTTTGAGGCAATACTCAAAATCCAGATTTGCATTTCAGCCGGAAAAGATCAAGGACCCATTTTGCTTCGCACACTTGAAAATCAGAAACAAGAAGCAGCCAAACTGGCCGAAGATCATCGTTATTTGCAGTCAAGTGACTGGGCCAAAGAACTCACCAAATTGGCCGATCGAGCAGCTTACAGTATTGCATTGTTCAATCGACGTCAAAGATATCGAAAACCGATTCCATATCGATTTGAATGGATCAACTTGCCCCAGGCCAATATTAATGTAGCAACACCGTCCGATGCCCTTGATGTGAGCATGATTCGTGGCACAAACTACTACAGACCGGTGGATGCACACGGCATACTGACCACGGCCGTGCAACTGGATCTATTTTATCCATCATACAAAAAAGTGCAACGCATTCGCAGTAATTGGGTGAAAAATCCGGGTGAACTGGTCTACTACGTAGTTGATATTCGTTTTCACGTTGACACCCGGACTACCTCCTACTCACGCTTCCTCCAGTCTACTGGTCAACTTCAGGCGACTGTGAGTTCCATGTGGGTCACATGAATTGTCATGCTTTTTATTTGTTTCCAATCAGTATTTTGTGTCATGTATCTGGTTGTCTTCCAACTGTTTTGATTTCTGCTTCTTATGTCCTCTGCTAGCGGTTTTACGATCATCCTAACACTGATCATATTTTATTATTAAAGTGCTGAAATCCCATTTCTCAGTAGAAAACTTCATCATTTTACCACTGGTTCGCACGAAATGAAACTCAGTTAGCTAGTCAGCTGACTAACGCTTGTTGGCACAGCACTGATAGTCAATAAAACAATTCTTATAGACTGACATTGCTTGCGATGGGATGACAGCGGAATGTGTGCGTGCGCGCTGAACGCTTCTTTCCGGGCGTGTTCAGTCAACATTTCGCGTGTAGTTGTTTCATTACTTTTTATCCTAATTGATTAGCTTATCAAAGAAAATTATCATAACGGATAGATCCCTCCACCCGAGTTCAGGATTTGGGATTTGTTAGTTCCTTTTGGTTCCCTGTTTGTGGCATGTGGAATATATGTTGATAATGCTTTCTGCCTCTCTGAATGTGACATTTTAGGATAAAGAACAAAATATTCGTTAGCCCCAGCAATGTGTTTGATCTTCAGTTCAGCCAGGTTGTTTTAAGAATTGATTTTCCACATCACGTACTGGTATCACAGACACCAAATTGGAAATATTATAAACAGGCTAAATGAATCTCCGTCGGATGACAGTAGTTTAATGAGATGTTCAGAATGAGTTTTAGGTACAAAATGATAGTGTCGATAGGCTTTAATGGCAAACGACGTCTGGGATGCCGTGATACAGTCTATGTGGTTCGATGACTTTTAGAAAACTTATCAGATCCTTCATGAGTTCAAATGACAATTTTGTGTCGATGTGGTAACTAAAGAGTACAAAGCAAAACATCAGGCGCTACGATTTGTAAGAATCCCTTCGGAATGTGAGCTGATATTTCCTTTCAAACCAAACCAACTCTATATGGCTGTACGGCCAGAGTCCAAAGACTCTCAAATCTAGGACGTAGTCCAACCCTCGGTAATTCTCAGTCAATGTCCAATACTATGAAGTAGTCGATGACGTCCAATTTCTAGCAGTGAGCGCTTAAAGCCCCGGTGATGGTGACGACCATCTATATGAATTCTGATAACAAAATTTTAATCAGATGGTTACAAGCATTTTCTGTTGGCAATTCATAAGATCTGAGTGTCAAGTACACGACCCACTTTCGAAAGAGTACCGGATTTGCATATCGAACGAATAGCAAAACCTGTGAAACCGGTTGTATGCTTTTCAGGAAATTCTCTACTGTCATTCAGTTACTACTTATTATAAGAAACCCTGATTAGCTCCTTCACGCAATTTTGGTGAGGTGAGTAACTTCCAACTTACAAGCATAACTTAGAATCACAGCAAGGATTCACACATGAATAACATAATAAAAATGCCTGAAAGAGGATTTCCAAGATGCAAGTTAGAAATTTCTAACGCATATGTATATGAAACAAGCCTTTCCCGAGATTAATTTCAAAAGAAAAGACCACATTGCAATACTGTACGATTTAGTTCCAGGACCATTTCGCTGCATCTCAACATGGTGCATACTGCAGAAAATACAATGTTTATATAAGTCTTTAGCATAGTAACAAAGTAAAGCAAAATACATAAGAACAGAAAAAAGTATACAAAACATAAAAAGGTGGAGGGATAAACGGATTATATCAGCAGAGTAGGGATAGGCCAACACAAAGTTCTTTTTGTTGACACAGGGGGTCTTCCATCGATTGATAGCAGTCACCTCAGCAAACCTTAGCAACTTTGCAACTCGTGACTTGTAAACGATCCGAAACGCCGTGTTTCGGTCGATCTGGTGTTGCGTCATCAGCAGATGTTGAGCAATGGCTGAGGACAGGGTCTTGAAGTTTCGACCGTCGTATCTGTGCAGCGGACTTGACCTCAATTGTGTCATCTGATTCTGGACCCATTTCGGAGTCTGTTCCACCACCCGATTGAGTAATTGTCGCTCTGTTCTGCCCACCTAAGTTGCTCCGTAACCGTACGTACATATTTGTCTATTGAATTACTATGTTCTGCTTTGGAAAAGTTCAATTGTATATGAGTATACCACCTAAACTGTGATTTTCTTGAAAACTTCGTATCCAGCATTGCCCCCGTCAGTAGGTTCGTTGCTTTTAAGTATATTACTGACTATTGGGTAAAATAGACCACTATTAGCCCTTGGTAAAAGTGCGATGTTTTAAACTGGCTCTCTCTCGGTCGGCAACTTTTACAAACATGCCTCGTAATTCAACTGCCTCCTATTATCGTTCAAAATAGATTTCATTCAAAAGAGTCCTATAGCTTTCACATGGTGCCATTGAAAAGTTCTTTATGGCCAGCCAAGAAGGCACAGAATTCAAACTTCTGGGAATGAGCAAAGCCTTCTTCACATTTTCCCTTGACCAATTATTGAAAAAATACGGTATTCTGGATGTTCAGAACTTTCCACCTCAACATTTTTGATAACGTTCCCAATGCAGGAGCATTTCCATTTGAGCTATTATTCTTCTTCTCTGTGGTATTCTAGCATCAAGGAATGTCATATGACAATATCCTGAACCTTTGACTGTAATAATATTTTATAATTACTCTTCATGACCAGCTTTTGCCTTAAAAGATTTACCACAAAATTTGAAATGTATCCTTTGTTGTTTATATAACCAATAATTGAAATGGCTCTTTTGAGTATCTGTAGTATTCCTTCGCAAAGACTATAGGGGAAGAGATGCATCTAATGGGGTATATCCGCATTGGCGTGTACAGTCCTTTTTTAGGATTGCAAATCAACCGTCGGATGCTGAGTTCACAGAGGCTTACAATATTTTAAAAATACAACAGTTTAGTTCTTTTCCATTACAGTGTGGTCGACATTCTAACAATATGCCACCAGAGGGGCACTCATGGACTTTGAATCTATTTGCAGTTGGTGTTCACCACGACAATAATAATAATAATAATTTTCAATCCGTATGATCTCTTACTCCAAATGCAACTGTCTCCATTGGTTCTGGATAAGAAACATATTTGTGGACTGAGTAACAACTACTTTTATCGTGCCTATTCAGAATTTCGCCTAGCACAGCTTATTTTGAAGATTGATTCAGCTCATAGAATGTAGATGGCTTGGTATAAACTGAAGGAGAAGTGGTGCATATAAATGAGGTTTTCCAAAATTCCTTCGACATGATCAAGTTTCTGTCCCTTTCTCTGTAGGCATTGTTGATTCTCTTTCCTCGAAATCAGCATGAAGTGAATTGTGCAGTTTTCTCATTGTTTTCAACATTTTCTTAGCCTTATAAGAATCATCATTAGTAAAGAAACTTAACTTATTTTGTTACTATCTTTTGATGATATTTTTTAATACTAACTATTGATTATTTCTGTTATGATGTTTATTTTACTTTACGCAAATACGTGAGCAGCATGCTTCGATTTTTAGTCCAAAACCAACCATCGTTCAGTTTTGATACCTTCAAATTAAACCTTGAGAAATAGAATTTTGTGTGACTGCCATCAAATTCAATATAAATAATACCCTTCCCCCAATGCAAGAAAAAGACAATTCCTAAAGAGAACTGCTTATACCACCTACCAAGAGATGTAATGACCAATGTTGTAACGTATGATACTACCGGACAAACGTCGACCATGAGCCAGAGAACACGCCATAAGACAGACCATGAGCAGAACACGAAAAGACCTAGTGACAGAGTGAGTATGACCAGACTGCGGTACCCAACGCTATTCTCAAGAGAGTAGTGGTAGTACGACCCCGGAACCCAACCATAGAAAAGACGGAAAACAAGCCTTCCGGTGAGGTTGGATATTGGGCTCGACCCAAAAGGCTACGATTACAGGCAGCTCATCTGTTCACATACAGTTTTGGGACCAGTAAGCAATGACCTTGCAAATTACTTGGAATGAGTTCTGTGGAAATTAACCAATTAGAATCAACCATGGCTGGTGGTGTGGACTGCGATTTTGCCGGCGCGAAAATTTGGAAATTCAAATTTTATAAAAAAAATACTTAGGAAATCAAGGAAATGGGGAAAGTAGTCACTTTTGAAGGGGAAACTGGGCTTTACCTATCACCCGCCAAGTGACCACCACCGCGGCAATAAAAATAGAATACTATATTCCCAACGCTCAGTTGGTTTGTACGAGACATTTTTGATCGTAAACGGTAAATTACGCACACTTGCCTTCGCTTTCTTGGGTATTTATCTATTTCACAAGTCATGAAATGATGACTGATCAACGCTCACACGATGTGCCACTCTGGAAGACTGAAATACAACGGCTCCAATCGACAGGTTTATTTATTTTTCCCAAACTGACACGGTGAAAATTAACGAACTGAACTCCTTCCACAAATAACACGTGTGACCAGACACGTCAGAAGTTGAGACTCGTAAGTAGTTTTCTGCTCGTACTATGGTAATGACGAAGAGAAAAATAGAGTGGATGAGATTGTTGGTTACTGCATTCAGCGGTAATCATTTTCACCTAAATGCCTAGAATGACTGGTTAGCAAGAGTCAGAGAGTTCATTGCTTTGTGCACAGAGAAAACAAACTTTCAATTGAGAGGATAAACGAAACCATCCGGACATCAGCCACAGAAGTTCTCTTCGTGTTGGTATTCAAACGCCACGCAACCAGCTCTGGATCCATGTGTCTCAGTGAATCGTTTCAACAGGAACCGCACAAGTAAAATCCACCGTGATGTTTTCAGATTGTTGACTGAACTGTGAAAAATATTTCCATACAAACATATACAAGAGCACAGGACATTCATAAAAGGAATCTGAAAATGAGCAACGATTGATGGAGTTAGGTTGATCCAGGGATCAAGAAGTGATAATATAATAACGAATAATTTTATTTCAGGAAAGGGGTCGTAGCCGCCCAGAGGTGTGCTGAGAAAATACAAAAATGAAAAACATGGGCTGCGGCAGGATTCAATATCAGAATCGCCGGATCACTATGTTGATGAAAACCTCTGCTCAAAACAAGTTGTAAGTAAACTGAAAATTCAAGACATACAAATTAAGATCCCGGATCGGAAACTAGTAAGTATATTTCATTGCTAAAAAAGAGTCGCATGTGATGAATGAATCATTAGGAAACAATCTATTTATTTATATCCGACAATCCACTGTCCATACTGTGATCTAATTAGGTTCTTTACAACCGCGGTACTGCAAAACGCTCTGGGGTAATTGGCGTTGCACAATTCTCGATCGATGAACTGTTGGACAAGGCCACGATTACGGTCGCGGACGACCTTATCGGGGATAATGGTAAAGTCAACGGACGATTGGAATTGCAACTTCGACAACATCAATCTGTAACAGTGAGTTCTAACTGCATCCGATGTCCATACGTCCACCGACCACCCACCCCGATTATACCGAGGCATAGCAGTTTAAACAGTAGGCTTTTGAGATCGTACAATAGAAATTATTTTTAATATCTCTCTGTCATCAACATCTAGTACTTAACGATTCCGATATTACCGTAATATGCCTATGAATCAAGCCATTGATGATTTGTAATCTCTCTTCAGATTTGTTGCATATTCCGAGAGTGAAATTTCTAGAAAATGTCCAATCCATACTCATGCACACAGAGTGGAAAACAAACTTGCTTCTGGTACTTTATGAAAAGATAAATTCAGTGCACCTTTGTCAGACTCCAATGAATCTGGTCGCACTGTCAATGGGAATGAAGGCTTCTCTCCTATATGCACCAATAATAGAAGCTTAGGATAGAGTTTTCGCATTTAACTCACAGTAACGTGTAAGAAGTGGTGCGGAATAATTAGGACTTAAACTGACTATCCTTCAAATTTGATCTTCTCGCACAATCATCTATTCTTCCAGTCCTGAGTTAAAAACTCAGACGGACGATGGATACGCACCAGTGATGAGTCAAATAAGAGCGCAACGGGAGTCTGGTTCTTCCGAGAGTATGATTAACTGGGAGAACTATATTGTATTGTATTGTTTTTTATTTTTGTAATATTTTGTAAAGACTTGTGTAGGCAAATAAGCCTAAATTTCAGTCCAAAAATGTGTTCACCATTTCAATGGAATGAAAATGAAAAAATTTCACGTAAAATCAGTTTTTTCTTGGATCTTTATCTTGTCAGTTGCCAGATATCGTACTGTTGAATTGCGATCCATGTTTATGTGGGAAGATAAGCAGCGATAATTCGATGGGTTTTAATGTGGAAACGGTAAGTAGATAGATCGGGATTGAGCGGAAAACTGGAGTCGTCGAATATCTTATGAGCGAAATTCTCATACAAAGTAATATGAAAATCAAACGATTCTGAGATTACAGTGTTTAAGGAAATAAGAGAAACACGGTTGATAATTATCAAGCAGCGATGAAGAGTAATGAAATCCTGTTAAATTACCAACAGTAATGTTGGGCGAACAAGAAACTATGATTGTGAAAAAGCACTGATAAACCAAAGAACAAATAATTGTATGGCTCACTCTAAATTGTCGTAGATTTTCATCTGGAAGGATAATTGAAGTATTGTAATGGCATAGGCTAACACTGTACGAGTGCACTCTATGATGACTCCTAAGTATTTGATGGTATGTGTTATGGTGATGTGTACGGAATGACTGACTGAGGGTTCCAAATGATGCTCGGACCAGGAAAGACTAAAAGTGCATTTGAAGCATTTAGAAGCATTCCACTGGAGACCGGATTGCTTCCGCAATAGTTCCATTTGTACTCAGCTGTCAGAAAATGATTCTATATCAGTTTGGTTTGAAATGGTTTGACATAAGAATTGAGGGTTTTGCATGAAGGTGAATTCTGAGTTCAAATTGAGATGAATTAATAAATATCAAGTTCTACTCCCCACAGAAATAACCTGTTAAACGACTGAGTGACTGAACAACACACACGTGATTATTTGAGCTAAGAAATAAGAAAAAAATCACTATAATACGAAAAAACAGTTCTTATGCAATTATCTTTACAGAAAATACAACTCTCGTTCAAACTGTGTACGGCAAGTTTTGGCTTTAATGTCCTTAAAAGTTTAATCCGTAAAATATGACTTATTTAGTTTTATGCTCTGCTTGTTCACATTTGTAGGTTTATGTACCCCTCATTCATCCGTTTTTGTAGTGAACAAATTGGCGCACGCAATGAGGTCACAAGTGTTCTGTTGTTTGTTTTTGATCAGAAATTTAAAAAATGTGAGACTCGCTGCATGCGATCCGTGAATAGTATTATTCGAAAAACAATTTATAAGTTGCTGATCTTCTATTGTATTGGGAGCCTTCCTATACTGTTTTGCTCCATGTTTTCGTCCACACCGGTTTTATGGGCGCTGAGAATTCACCCATAGATATGTGCAGAGCGATCACTCGACTGTGAAATGGCCTGTACCGTTCAGAGGCTCTTCATTAACTGTGTATTACGTTGGTTGTAGCGCTATATACAAATTAAGCCCTTTGCAAACATACCATGTTTCGGANGGAGATTACAGATTACAAACATGCACACACCCTTACATAGTCATCTATACCTACTTTCCTACTCTCCTACAAACAAACGAACATACATAGTACACTTCATAGATGCATACATAAAAAATACATACATACATACGTAAATAAATAGAAAACAGTGATAGAGTCAGCAACATATAGGTCTCCGTGAATGTAAATCATGAAATACGACCAATTCATATCTCCATTCGAAGCGCGGTTTGAAATCCCTGGCACTTGTCAATTCCTCCCATTGAAATACATAATGAAGTAACTTTCAGGAACGGAGAAGCGGTCAATCAAGACCTGCTATGATAACACACAAGATGCCGGAACCCAGACAGTGGTAATCAGATTGGAAAGCACATCCTCCCGAGAGAGATGCTGGTGGCCTTAAGCACTTGATCATTATCAAGTGCCAATAAAGTGTATGGCAACATGTTCATTCCTCTCCAGGGATGAAAACTCTTCAAAGTTGGATGCATTCCCAAAGCCTCAATTGTGTTAATTTGGAATTCGTCGGTCATAGCTCAAGTTGCCTCTGTTTCGGTGTTTGTTGAACCCCTAACATCGAAGGTTCGAGGACCCTAATACACACCGTAAACAATAAGTGTTAAACAACTACAACTGAAGTCCCAGTGGGAGAAAATAGATAATATCCACTGTTGATGAATTTCTACAAAGAAAATACGGTTTTTCAGTACTGCTTTCCAATATCCGCACAAGAAATTCGTGAAAATGAAGTGAATTTCTATGATCCATTTTCAAAACCCCTCATCAAATGCTCTTTCGAGCATATCTGGTGATAGATGTCTTATTAATTTATTCAAAATGTATCCAATTTTCCAATCCGGATTCCATTTCACTTTCTATCAGGGAAAATTACTGGACGTCGTACGAAAACCGTGGCTATTTTTAGCTGTTCCTGAAATTCCCTACAGTGATTCTCCACTGTTTCAAGAAGGGCTTGGAAAACAAGCCGTTTCAGCACAGTCTATTCCAGATCTGATAAACTCGACTACAAACGGTCATAAAATTGTCACTGCGCAAACAATCATCGATGCACTGGAAAAAGACCTGTCTTCTGAGAGAAGTCAAATAAACAGACTATCGGAAATTAGTGATGACATGGATGACTTATATCGTCAATGGGAACAGGCCCCTGACAGTGGACAACTGACACAATATCGCGCAAATCTTCTCCGTCTGCTCCAACAATTTCAACAGAAACGAGAGGATGCAGAACAACGCCTAAACAGGAAAGGTGCACGATACTACTCCCGCAGAACGTCATTGATCCTGGAAGAACTGCATCGCTATAAAGGGAATTCCTTCAATGATGAAGTGAGTTTTGTCACTTGTAAGCTTGGATGATTTGACGATAAAGCGGCACAAGTAACAGAAACACGTATGTTTTCAAGCATCACCCGGTTGTGATGGAATCAATCAGTTTTACTGAAGTTGACGAGGAATTAGGGAGCGAAAACAACAACAAATGTTTTTGGGGTATTTGTCCGAAGTATCTTAAAATTGAATGGAAATACCTTATAAGGTGTCGTAACAGTAGGTCACTTATGATCTCGAATGTGGAGCGGGCTCTTATTCACGAAGTTGAATTGTAAAAGTGTACAACCCTCAGAGCCCATTTTTACATACGTTCAATGCCACAGATTTTAAAATTACAATTGTCCACGTAACACAGTTAGTCTTATAGCTTTAAAACTACTGTAACTATGTATAATAGAACTCTTATTTTTTCTGATTAACTATTATTATACCTTTTTAAAATTGGATTAGATTATGAGTAAACTTATTATTTCATTCAATTTTGAAAAGATCAGTTACCCTGATAGGTATCAAATCTAGTTTGAAGCCTACTAAATGACTGAACAATGAATTACATGGTTGTGTTACCCACTAAATCACCCACCCCAAGTTATTCTGTTTCGCTACCGTGTTCCAATGAACTTACTTTAACGTCCTTTTTAAATTTGTTTTCGCCTCCTATACCTTTTCTTTCATCACATAACAAGACGACTTTAAAGCTCAGTATTTTTTGTTTGAAGCACTGCCTACTATAGCACCCCAAAAATTTAAAAGTGCTTGCCACCTAGTGTTAGAAGTTGGATTCTACTTCAATTAAATTCTTGAAAGATGCACATCCATCGCTGTTCGCTAACCTTTTTCACTAAATTTTCCAAACACTGAAATGAACTGATCATTTTTCCCCATCACCACAGGAAGAAGAACTCAAGGAGTTTAAACCCATTAATGAAGTTCAAGTGAATGGGAAAGGTCAAGTGGAAGGGAGCCCAATTGAGAACAAGCAGACCAATGGAGATACACTTGAGCGCGAAATCACAGTTGCTTCACCAAATGCTCATGGGAAATCCTCCACGTTACCAAATAGCTTTAAGCCTCGGGAACCGAGTGGACTTAGGTCCGAATACTGGGCAAACACGTATCCCACTGAACGAGTGATCCAGATATCAGGCCCCGCCGTTTCCGGGAGCGCTGGCAGAACTCGGAGAAAAATCTCGACTGGCGATAACAAAGAAAGACTCATTGTCTATGTCTAAGCAGTTTTTCTCAGTACAAAGCTGATTTGTTGAGCTCAAAAGTGATCATTTCCTCGGAGATGAAACTGTATTCAAAAACCGAACCGCCACATTGCACGAATAAATGTACATTATTCAACTGCCTTTTTGTTCATAATCTTCGGTCTGAACTTCGCACTGGTTCGTAAGCATTAATATGATGCCATTTTGCTCCTGTTTCTGTGTCCATCCTAATATTGCTCATTGCAAGGCTCAAGTTATTGCAGTTATCCACCCCTCTCTAGAGTGTAATTACAAAGAGCCGTTACCATCCATGTCAACACTGCCTCATTTCCAAATGAATTCACTACTGACCCCTATCCGAAAATGAAAACACCTTCTTTGGGTCTAATCGGCCTTCTTAGGATGTATATGGTCAGAATTCGCCACTTGGTCCTGGGCTAACGACAACTTGCAAATCTATCGGTTGTTTAAGGTGCCAAATTTGCACTTCGGTAGGGATGTTTGAACTTTATAGACCAATCAGGCTTTTCAAGGACGGTGGTTGGCATCAGTTGACAATTGGTAAATATTCTGAAATTCCTTTGTTTGCTTTCCTAAATGTGCCATTCTGCAAGTTCAGTTGTTTGGGATTGTCTTTGACAGTTGCAGTGATCGCCAGTGGAAATCAAGTTTAACCGTGAAATCACATAAATTGCAAATCGCTGGGTTCAAATAATGTAAGCTTGTCATTCGAGAGCTCCCTTAATTTTGCTGAGGTAGTTGAGGAGAAAAACATCCTTCAGCATCGGCGACGAAACAAAGTTTATACATTTATACAAGATCTGGGTTTCCCCAAAGAGAAGAGCGTTTTAGTATGACCTTGGAAAAAAGTGCAGTTGCAAATGAATGTAAAAGAGAACATCATTCAAACAATCGCAAATGCTTGTAAAAAATTTCGAATAATTGGTCTCATGCTCGATGAGTGTAGACCGCTCGTACAAAGTGTTGAATATCCATGCACTGATCAGGTTACTCTCAGATTAAGATGAAGATCTTACGCCACCATGGCTATCTTATTTTTCGTCTGCATTTATGATTTTACTGTTAAAGAAAAACATCACATGTAAGATGCTGGAATTTCGGTTTCAGGTGACGATGACGAAGAGATAGATGAGTATAAAAGAACGATTCGAAGCTGCATAATTGTCAAAAAAATTTCACTTTATTGAGTGTCGTATGTGCAACCGAAATGGATGTACAAAAGTATATCGCAGAAGAAAACACGGCAGATATGAATATTTTGGATCCTTCGTATGAAATAATATGTCTCCCGTAGCATTCCAAGGGCGATCAATGCTATTTTTTACAAAGGACCCATTCGAAATGAAGGGGGCCGACTTGTTTTGGGGTACATCTTGTACGTCTCTCGCCAGAGCGAATGTCCCCCTGGAGCGAATTACGTTTATCAGTCCTGCTGCAAACCACTGTCCAGTAAACATCGACATTCAAAACACGTTCTGCTGAATTTAGCTGCGCAATCGTATGCGCAAAGTTTTTCTCGCAGGTACGTTTCACAATCACATGGTGCTATATCAGCTATTCTGAACGTTGGGGTAGATTTGTTTAGTTCTCGTAGGTAGCTCGATTAGCTAAAGATATTCGCTTCGAGGGACTAGAAAAGTGATACTTTAACGATGGTAAATTTGTCATTCTAGAACGGCCAAAGTGAATGAGCTAACGATTATGTGGACATATAGAATAGCATATCCGGTCCGAAGAAGAAATTAGCTCCAAATAATCTGAGATATTAAATTTCCCTTCTCAAAACTTTCATTTGGTACATCATTGAGTTCAGCAACGACAGTTTTGTAAACAACGGTGTTGATTGTTGTTTAAGTAGCTCGGGTGGTATAATTTGATGTTCAGTTGTTCGCCGAGCTTGGTAATTGTATTGCAAACGTTTTATCACCAATCGAGGTGACATTCCCAATGCAGTAACTGGGTAAGCGCTTACGAGTGTCCTCTTCCTTATATAGGTCATTGAGTGATGTGGCGTTGCCTGATTGGCCAAGGTTTGTTCNGAGGTGGACGCGAGCAGTCTGACGGCTGGCCGTTGATCGATCAGTGTAAGCGTTACTGTTGTCCTGTCGTGTCACGTGTGACACGACCCACCTTCTTTGCATTGATTGGTCCTTCTGTTGCATGGGGGTGTAGAAGTGATCGACGTCAATGTGTCGGTTGATAAATAATGCACCTGAAATGTGATCCAATGGAGGAAGCCTTGTAAATGGTGTCCTCTTCCAGCTTCTCCAATAAGTCTCCAACTTCAGTTAAAGACTTTGCAGGAATTCGACAG